ATTTGCTGATGAATAGCGCTAAAATTAGTGATTATTTCCTGTCAAAAGCATGTTTTTCATTGGCTTCGCCCTCCCCAAGCAGTTTTAACATCATTCGGCCCTGTTGATACAATTTTCCTGGCTCCGCCACTGACTTTGATTCCACTGTAACAAGAAACTGCAAGCAGAAATTAACCCCCTGAGATATATGTAGTGATGAGCCGTACTTGTTGGAATTACCATTTCAACATTTAGCTACTTTGAAATGTTTCGAGCTATCACATCTGAAAGAATCTGACATTATCTTGTTTGCTCAATCTTTGCGATCTTGCGGTCAGATATGTAACTTTCATTTGATGTTTGCCCAACAGGATTCGATATCTTCTCCTTGGAAGGGTGTTGCGCTTAACAAGAATTTTGCTGCAAGTTCAACGTTTCAGAGCATTTGTTGCAACATTCTTTACCCTGATGTCTAGTTTGATGCCATATTTGGGGATAGTATTCTGTGTTCTTTGCATGTACTGCTCCCTTGGTTTGCAGGTTAGAATGTTTGCATATTAAGTTTAAGATCCAATCTGTTCTTTGGACAATGATCCACCTACATACAATAGTTTGTTATTTGTGCCAGTTATTGCTATTTTTTCTTTCTTTGTTCACAGCTTACCCATGCACTAATTACTACTGTTGTTTGAGTTGAACTTATCCTAATCTGAACTGGACATCTTCACTGTTGAAATATCACTAGCACTTTTGACATGTTACTATTTGTGAACTGATAGTTTAGTCTGTTTCATTTGCAGATTTTTGGGGGCATCGTGTATGCTGGAAACCCAACACTAGAAGAAACGGACCTCTTCAATAATGAGTATCCTTGTTTGTTCTTCTTCCACTGTTGGGATTCCACTAGGAATTTTACAGTTTCTTGTGGCCAATGATTCAAATACGTCGTTGCTAACCTCTGTAACTGGCGCTTACTGGCCGTCCTAGCTCGGATTGGTAATATAATGTCAGTCTGAAAGAGATGTTTTCAAATTTTCATATGAATTGACATGAAACAACAATTTAATGCTCATATAAAACCAAAAAACCACAATAATATGAGGAAAAATATATGTTATAAACAAATATCAAGCTAGAATAGATAAGGAACTCGGCTGGTAACCGCCAAGTTACCGGCTAGCCTGCTACTGGCCTTGCTATGGTAAATTTACGAGTTATTGTTTTATCATTTGTCATGGACCACTTAACTGCTATGCTAAACCTAAATCATGCTTTTGAAATGTATCTGTTTCACATAATTCTTGCATTTTTTCCCTTGACATATTCAGTTATCTTCTTTTTAACTTCAATGACTATCCAAGTGGTATGGTTACTCTGTTCAATTTGTTAGTGATGGGCAATTGGCAAGTATGGATGGAGGTAAGAATATTTCTCTGTTCTATAAAATGAATTAAAGTGGTCAGGATTGTCTTCCTAATCAATGCGAAGACATCTGGTAAAAATACTGAACAGATTTTTGTATTTTCTAACCTGTGTTTCTTTATCTTTCTTTCTAATACTTTCAGAGTTATTGGCAACTGACTGGAAATTCTTGGAGCCTGATTTATTTTGTCAGCTTTTACCTTATTTCAATATTACTACTGCTTAATCTGGTAAGATCTTAAATAGATCCTCATTTTTTTGTTCATCCAGTAACATGCATGACATAAGTTTCTAACTTCGCATAATTTTAGATTTTGAATGACTGACCTGCGCATGGCTAGAACTTTGTTGAGAAGTGGATATTTCCAAGAATTGTACTCCCTCCGATCTAAAATAAGTGTCGCAGTTTTGAACTGGGTTTAGTTCAGAACTGCGACACTTTTTATGGATCGGAGGTAGTAGCTCATTATATGTTATTAGATGTTTAGTTACTGATTATAAATTTTGTATTTCTTTTATCTTCGTAGATTGTAGCATTTGTGTTGGAGGCATTTTTTGCTGAGATGGAACTGGAGAAAGGTGAAGAGGTTGATATCCAGGTGAGAATGGGATGAATAGTTAAGCTACTTTTTATCCGGATTGAAATGGCTGATATTTTAGGACACTCTCCATCACCTGCAGAATCCTACGTCTGGAGGAATAAAGAAACGCCGGTCTATGCGGTAATGTAGATCTTGTTATTTTCTATTATTATATATCAACATACGGTGGCAGGCTTTGCGGTCTTATCATTTATGTGTTGTAGTGTGAGGTCAAAGGGTACGATGGTTGATATTCTTCTGCACCATATGCTGAGCAATGAACTTGATGGATCTCAAAACTCTTGAACAATGACTGGTATTATCCTGCTTCTCACTCAGAACTTCCATATAATTGTGCTAAAATAATCAAATTCATGAACTTAGATGTTTTTAGTGTATGATATTATCCATGCCAGACACTAGCTCATTCCTAGTGTTTGTTATTTGTTGATGTCTTTTTACTAAATGTCTTACTGGTTAGGTACCTGGCATTAGTTCGCCTACATTATTTTAACGATTACGTTCTGTCGGTGCTGCCCTCATTGTGCTTTAATGGTTATAACTCTCGGTTATTTTTATTCGGTTCTGCTAGGATGGAAGCAAGAAAATACACGGACGCTTCCTGGTGAAAGTACATGAATGATTACAGCCAGTATATTCCCAAGCATGGAGTATGTTGCAGCCGCGATAAATTTCTGAGTAGTGCTGTAACGGACTCGATTTACTTCCTCTTTCAGTATCAAGAAATACATCGAATATGCGTATTTGTATCCGGTCGATTTGATACTGCTCTCTGTCAGGCTGATAAGAGTTTGGTAGAGTTTTATATACACTCCGTCTCAGTCAACATACCAACAAGCAACTAAAGAAGAGTTCAAGTCACCACTTCAAAGTGTAGTCAGCAACTTGTATAAAGCAAAAGGAACTGTACTGGAAATCAATATGATACTACAGGCTCTGGTGCTTTTTTCTGTAACTAATCTTATATCAGTTGAAATACTATCAATATATGACACTACAGGCTCTGGTACATTTTTCTGTAACTGGTCTTATATCAGTTGAAATACTGGGCATTTTGTTGACCTCCTATTTCCATGTTAACACATTCCTCCAGATTTAGAGGAAAATGAACATCTGGTTGGGCCTCTCTTGTTTTGTTTTCCTTTCTGTGGCGTAGAGGTAATGGTGGAGACCGGCAGGCAGAACCCCACCATCTCCTTAGGCGAGTGCCAAGCGGAGTAGTTCCTAGAGGTGGAATTTGAGTGAGTCGAGTCAGCTCGGCTGACTCGCTAGAGCTCGTTTAGATAGCGAGCTAGCTTGGCTCAACACGTTAACACACGACAAAGTCAAGCCGATGCCTGCACGACGATATTGGTTAGAACCGTCCATGCAAAGCAGAAAGTGCAGCCCAGCCGCAGATTTAGTGTCGTCCACAAATCGTCCAAGGAAAAGTGGTCTGTATAGTAGTTTCGACTGGAGGAGTCATTGATAAAAATAGATAAATCTGGAGCAGCTCCCCGTTCCCCTCCCGAGTCGCCCCCCGCGCGACCGGGAGGAAACCCTAGCCGCCGCCGGCCGGGTCCCCCCCTCCCTCTTCCCCTTTCCCTCGCCGCCGCCAGAGGGCGCGGCCAGGCGAAGCCTGGTTGTCGCCGGCGGCGGCGGGGAGTCCCTGTCCCCTCTCGCGTCGAGCTCGGGGCGGGCCGAGGCCGGTGGGTCGGGGTGCCCCGCTTGACGGCGGGCGCGGCAGCGCGGCGGCGCGCCGGTGCAGTGGCGGCGGCGTGACGGGCGTCGTGTGTGTGTGTGTGGGGGGGCGTGCTTGGGGACGGGATGCGGTGGCTTGCTCGACCAGATCTGGCCCTTCGGGCGGCGCGGCTGCGGGCGGCCTCCTCTGCCTTGGCCGTCCTGGCTGGGGGAGGTGGCGGCGCAGGTGTGGTGGTGTGTACGGCGGCGCAGGTGGTGCGACCGGTGCGCTGGCCGATCTGGTGGCTACGTACCCGGCGGATTCAGTGCCTGGAGTCCGGCGGGCGGCGCGGGATGGGTAGTGGCCTGGTGTGGCTGCTGCTCCGGCCGTGGGGGGTTCCATGGTAGCTTGGCAAGTCGGATGCGGCGGCGGCTGGCATGTTTCGGCGTCGGTTCGTCTGTAGGCGGCGTGCGGCGGCCTTCAATTCCTCTCCCTGTCGCCCGCGCTCCACTTCCGTCGATGGACTGGGCTTTTCCTAGCCGTGGTCCATCGCCCATCTCGTGCCCGGCAGCAGGACCGCGCTCGTCTCGCGCCCGGCAGCAGGACCGCTCCCGTTTCGCGCCCGGCAGCAGGACCGCGGCCGTCTCGCGCCCGGCAGCAGGACGGGCCGATGGCGGCTGGTTGGGGGCAGCTCAGGGGTGCGAAAGGTGGGGCCTTTCCACCCGTCTCTATAGGTGGCGTGGCGCTGGGTAACTGGGTAGGTGGCGTCGAGGTCTTGGATGCCGGGGCAGCGGCCCTGGGGGTGGTGTCACAGTGCTCTTGGGCAAAGCCCGTGCCTGGGTGCTGCCCTGTGACCATGGTCGTGTGGACGGCATGGTCGCCGGGGTGTGGCGTTCGGTGGCGGTGAGTATTGGCCTGGGTGAAAACCTGCTCTATCCTCGGACGGACCGGCGGCGGCGAAGCTCGTTCCCTTCCTGAAGGCGTCGTTGCGGCCATCATTGCCCGTCGTGTTGCTCCAGGGGAAACTCTGACTCTCGGGTCGGGCGGTGGCGGTACTCCGGTGTCGTATCCTTCCTGAAGGCCCCGCCTTGGAGCCCACGGTTCGTCATATATATGCGGCTTCATCTCTTCGCGGTGGCGTGTTCACGGTCGCGGACCCGGCTGCTCTTGTAGTGCTTGGGGTGGTGTTGCTGCGCTCAGCGCTTATGTATCTTGCCTCGGGTGTGTGCGTGTGTTGTGGTGGTGTGCGTTTGTACGGGGTTGTTGTTGATCGTTGTTTTATTTATAAAACGGGGCGAAAGCCTTTTTGGGTAGTAGTTTCGGCTCGTTAATATAATGATCTCAGATCAAAGCATGGCTCGACTCCTGTAACTCAGGAGCCAGCTTGTTTAAGCTAATTATGCATATGAACAACAAATATAATGATCATAAAAATGATTACATAAGTATGTAATATGTATATTAAGCATGCATAACGTAAGCGAAACAGTTTTAGTATGCACATATCACAAAAGAAATGCCAACTCTCCTAGCCATTAGTACTAGACGAGGGAGAGGCGGCCGAGAGAATGAAGCCCGTCGGCGTCACCACTCGCTAGGGGAAGTAGGACATTGGGGATCAAGGGCGGGGCTTTCGCAGAGTTGTGATAGGCGCTTGGGCTAGATGGTGAGATGTATTGATTTGTTGTTCATATTAGAGCTTGGCTCGGCTCATTAGTCATTGAGTTCGAGTCGATTCGAGCGGTGACAAGCTACTTGTTTAGCTCGCGAGTTTTGAGTTTTGATTCCAGCCCTAATAGTTTCGTCGGCAAAACTGCTAGCCGGGTACTTCAGGAGCGTGGGTTCCATACTACCATATGTACGGTAACGGCGGTGTTTGTTTCAGCTTTAGGACCAGATTCAGCTTTGAAAAAGCTAAATTTGATAAATACTTTCTCCGTTCGGAAATAGTTGTCATCAAAATCTCCTCTAATCTCTCCTATATATAATAATAATCTTTATCTTTACCTCTTTATCTTTATTTTTATCTTTATCTTTATCTTTATCTTTACCTACTAATAAAGCAGCGATTGCTTCTGGTCGTACGTCGTCAGCGTTTTTGCAAAACAGTCCCTCTGTTTCTTTGAAATAAACCCGCAGTCCCTGTTTAAGTGGCACTCTGGAAAACGTTTCATTTTTACCTAAACACCCTTGCATTTGTTAAAAATTATGCCCATGACCCTATCTCTTATTGGACTGGCTCACCACCGCGCATCTCGCCGCTTATCATGCCGTTCTCCACCGCCGGGCACGCGCCGCCGGCGCCGCGGCGGGCGTCCGCGCCGAGGCGGGGCACCGGCCGGAGCACGGCGTGCACTCGATGGACACCGGAGCGAAGCTTGTTTGAGGCGCGAGAGGCAGGAGGCTGGATCTCGGCGCGGCCCCCCTTAACACACAGCCCAGCCGCCGCCCCGCTGCCACGAACATCCCAGCCGCGGAGAGGTGTGAGATCAGGGGCGGGGAGGTTGGAGCGAGCTTACGGCTTCGTCCTCGGTCGTGGATGCGTAGATGAACAGGAGGCAAGCGTTCGTCTCCTTCGGTCTCGATGCGCATGAGCAGCTGGGCTGGGCCCTCGGCGCAACGTGCAGGCGAGCAGGCGTGCAGTGGCTAGGTGTGATGCGTGCCACGCGCGAACCAGTGCGGTTAACGCGACGAGCAGAGTGTCCAGGCGAGCGGGGGGCTTGCGGGTCAACGCATCCTGGCGAGCGGTCGTCGCTGCGCTCGAGCGCTGCTCCCTCGCGTTGGAAGAAGAAAGTGCAGCGGCAACTCTCCAGGGACTTGCGGCGGGGCGACATGGATCCGACAGGGACGGCCTGGATCTGGACAGGGTTGAGGAGGGCGCGGCTCCTAGGGTTGGACTGTTGGACTTGAGCTCGATGCAACATCCATGGCAGCTCGTGGTCCTGTAGCAACGAGAAGAGAGAGGGGGTTAAGAGAGAGAGAAGAAAGAGGAAGGAGGAGGAAAAAGGAGAAGGGAGCAGAGGCAGGGGGCGGCGCGGCTTGCTACTGGTGCTCGCCGACGCAGGCGGCACGGGGAGGCTCGGGCGCTCGTGCAGCTCCATGGGAGGAGCTCATGGACGGCCGGATGGATGGATAAGAGGAAGGATAGCAGCGCCGCTGGGAGGAATGGCAACGTGGATAACGTCCACACAATGGGTAGCTCTCGGTGGGGATTCTTGGTGTGGATTGCTTTTTTTAATGGCTGCACTGATGAGTGCCGAGAAGCTGCTGGATGTTGCTACGCGTGCTAGCAGCCTAGCATCCATTGCATTTTTTTCTAAATGAGCACCGATATAATTACTTGTTGTTATTTGTTGTTATTGTCATAGCTTTTTTAACGCAGTATAGACGCAAGCGCTCATACATACACGCATACAATTATTACTATGAATGCACACACGCTCATCCTATCCATTAGCACATCCGAAAGACTGAGCCGGCATATTATCTTGAGATTTAGGTGGCTCGTCGTCGACGGGAACGTCTCCTCCCACTGAAACGCATCACCGGAAATTCTGAAATAAATTCAAGAATAATGCGAGTCCAGAACTTGAACCCTGGTGGGCTCAGGGTACCATTGTCCCTC